TCATAGAAATATTTCTACTGTGTTCCCTATTGGATGGTTGCGTTGGTACTAATAATCAATAGGTTAACACTCTAATTTTAATCCCATAATGGGATTTGAACCCAATATGTAAGGGTATGGGGGACAAAGCAGGAGATGGGGCACTAGGAAATGATGCTCATTTAATGAGCTGATGTAGGCATGATGAGCCAAATGGCCTCCTTCTGAAGGGTCCGAACCCGAAACATCAACTTTCCTGCTCCTCCGACGCTGCCTGACCTGCTGTGTTCCTCCAGCTCCATACTGTGTCATCTCCTTCTCTGCCATGGTACTTTTGTGATGACTGTGATTCAATTGAAATCAATTAATTTAGAATACAAAACCAACCTCGAATAAAATCAATGAAATGATCACTGGCCATTGTAAAACCCCATCTGGTTCACTATTGTCCTTCAAAGGAAGGAGGTCTGCCATCCTTACCCAGTCTGGCCAACAGATGACTTCAGATCTACAGTAATAGGGTTGACCTTTGTGAAAATGTCCAAACAAGCCATTCAGGTCAAAGGCAATCAGAAAGGACTAATAATTCCCATGACTGAATATATATTTGTAAGAATTGTGGTTCTAATTCTATTCTTGCCCAAAAGTGGAAACATGATCTTTACATCTACCTTATTGAGTCTTTGTGTAGACCTCTGGCAGGCCACCCCTCACCTTTTCCGAAGGAGCCCCAGTCTATCCATTAATGTGTGTAACCTCTAAGGTTTATCATTAGCAAGGTTCTCGCATAAGCCTCAGGCATTAAACAAGTGCAGCAGACTCCAGGGTTGGTTGAATGAGCAAATTGCATTCAATTAAACCCTTTTCATTGCTACACTTCACAGATTTTCTGGGAGGGAGTGATACCTTCAAGGGGTAAGATTCTAAACGGGCAGATCTTCTTAAAGTTGGGTTTGGGAGCTGAAAGCTTTAGAGTCACAAACTCAGAGGCAGCAACAGCCACTATGTACTCCCTCCCCCACAGGTCATCCAACTGCAAGAAAAGCAATAGCCTAGTGGTATTATCACTGGACTGTTAATCCAGAGACCCAGGTAACATTCTGATGACCTGGGTTTAAATCCTGCCATGGTAGAATTTAAATTCAATAAAAATCTGGAATTAGGAGTCTAATGATGACCATGAAACCGTTGCCAATTGCTGGGGGAAAAAAATCCAACTAACGTCCTTTAAGGAAGGAGACTGCTATCCTTACCTGGTCTGGCCTACATGTGACTCCAAGACCCACGCAATGTGCTCAACTCTTAAATGCCCTCTGGGCAATTAAGGACGGGCAATAAGTACACACCTAGCAGTGATGCCCACATTCCATGAATGAATCAGAAAAGAAAATCCCCTGCATTCATATATCTTCCCAAATCATCCACACTCTCAGGGGGTTGTGACCATTTAAACCTCGAAACAGGCTTACAATGGGAAAGCTGTGGGAAGCATAGGTCTATGGTCTATGGGAGGAGGTGTTGGACTTAAGCATTTTATATTCAAAAACTGTATGTTGGCAAAGAAAAGTTTCAGTAACTGGTCTGCCTTCCAAGTAAAATTCGAAATCAAGATTCAAAGCAAAGTGAGGGAGATTGTAAAAATAAAGATCACACAAACAGCCTGGATTTTTACTTTGGTGAGTCTTTATTGAAATCTGTAACACAGCACCAGGCTGTCAAAATCAACCCTTCAACTTAATCTAAATAACAGGACATCATAAATTAAAAACACATCCACAAGTTACAGAACACAGAAATAGTCACAGACAGAAATCAAATTCTCCAGCCATACAGTTCAAATGGAACAAGAAATAAATCCTCGTTCGACTTCCTGCCTGTGTAATAAAAATAAAACAGAATACCCAGAATAGAGTCGCAAAATATTTTACAGTAAAAGCATCTTCAACTGCTTCCTTCATCTAAAAGTTCAAAAACATTCTAACAAGACACATGGAGAGTCTTAAAACAGATAGATTGGAATTTAAAAGAAGAATTCTTCCTGCTTGAACAGTTGAAACAGTCTCGCCTTGGTTACAACCACGACAGACGCTTACAGGCTTAACAATGCAAGAGGTAGCCATTTGGCCCATCAAGTCCATGCCAGCTCTCCACAAAGCTAGTCAGTCAGTCTCATTACCCTGTTGCATCCGTCTAGACATCAAGAATCCCACTCAATTTCTTTCTCAAATCGTCAATATTTTCCACCACCAATATCTGTGGGGATTGGGGAAGGGCTTCTTTCAGACAGAATTATGTAACAAAAAAAGTGATTAATGCAGACTACTTCCTCCGGGTGCTCTGGTTTCCTCCCATTATCCAAAGATACGCAGGTTAGGTGGATTGGCCATGGTAAATATAGCGTTACAAGGATAGGGTGGGGAGGATGGGTCTGGGTGGATGCTCTTTGGAGAATCAGTGCCGACTTGGGGCCAAATGGCCTCTTTTCACAACTATAGGGATTCTATGATTTTTGACCACACAATCTCATCAGCCAGGTCTCCAGATGTTCTCATAGCCCAAGCGGTAATAAAGTGGCAGAATGTGATGGGAGTCACTAACAAGCAGCTAGTCTATTTGTACAGGGGGTGAAAGACAAAAAAAAAATGCAAAACACCTTTTGAAAGAGATGAGGTCAGTGGTTGCTTAAGATTTACTTCAATGCACATAAAGGGTTATCTCTGACACTACAGTCCCTGCCATGTCCATAGCCATGTCCAAAGAGGTAGGTTTCAAAAAGGCTGGGACCTAAGTTTCAGAATATTTCAAGGACAATTTTCAGCGAGTGAACTTTCTGCTGTTGACTCTTCCCTACAAGAACATTAGTGAAAACAAGATACGTTTTTAACAATAAAGCGATGACAGCTCACAGCCACCACGGTACAGAGCGATTTTCAGTTCCGGGCTTTTCAAAAAAAAAATTGATTGAATTTAAATCCCATCAAGTTTCTTGGTGGTACATGAAGCCACATTAGCTGGGGGGGGATCTGATCTGCTGGCACAGTGATGACACCACTAGACCACCAATGACTTCAGGCCATGCCATCCGAAGATATGGATGGTCAAAAATAAATTGGGGCTGCGCAAACGACCAACATGTGACAAAAATGCAAAACGCTCGGAATGCTCGGGAGCAAGGAAGTTAACGTTTCAGGTGCAGACCCTCTCAAATTGTTCAAAGAAGCAGTTTGTGCCACTTCCCTTCAGCCAAGAGTTGATCTGTATATTCTTGCTGGAATGCAAAGTTGGGAGGGTCAAAAGCAGAGTGCACCCTGGGCCCTAGAGAACAGCCTGTGACACAGACTGGGGTCAGTGAGCGGGTGGAGAAAACAGACGAGGAGATTATGAACCCCCTTCCCAATGGGAAGTAAACTTGCATTTATGTAGCACCATTTGTCATAGTAAAGGGACCCTCAAGTGCATCACAGGAGTGGAGTGCCAGATGCAATTTGACACTGAACCACATAAAGATGTGAAGCTTAGTCAAAGAGGTGGGTTTCAAAAAGGCTGGGACCTAAGTTTCAGAATATTTCAAGGACAATTTTCAGCGAGTGAACTTTCTGCTGTTGACTCTTACTTAATGGAGGATCGTGATGAGGAAGAATTCCTTCACTCAGAGTTGTGAACCTGTGGAATTCTCTCCCAGAGGAGGCTGTTGGGGCCAGTTTGTTAGATATATTCAAGAGGGAGCTGGACATGGCCCTTGTGGCTAAAGGGATCAAGGGGTATGGAGGGAAAGCGGAAATGGGATACTGAGATTGCATGATCAGCCACGATCATATTGAATGGTAGTGTAGACTCGAAGGGCTGAATGGCCTACACCTGCACCTATTTTCTATGTTAACACAAGCTCAGACTCTCTATATAAAGTTGTTGGACTGGATTCATGCGCCTGTGATTTCTTGAGCGTTATTTGTGAAAATCCTCTGGATTTGAATCAAATATTAAATCCTCTCAAAAGAAAAAAGCCTCAAGCAGAAATAATTAATTGAAGCTCAAGGGAGAGGTGTACAAATCAGTTTGCTAATCATTTATTTGGTGTGACGAAAGGGAGCAGATTTAAATGCAGGCAATAGATTTTGTTCTCTCCCTTTCAAGGGATGTGGGCACCACTGACAAAGCCAGCGTTTGTTGCCAGTCCCTAATTACCCTTGATCTGAGTGACTCACTGGACCATTTCAGGGGGAGTTAAGAGTGAACCCCATTGTCATGAGACTGGAGTCAGACGTCGGCCAGACCAGGTAAGGATGGCAGATTTCCTTCCCTACAAGAGCATTAGTGAAAGCAAGACACGTTTTTAACAATAAAACGATGACAGCTCACAGCCACCACGGTACAGAGCAATTTTCAGTTCCGGGCTTTCCAAAAAAAAAATTGATTGAATTTAAATCCCATCAAGTTTCTTGGTGGTACCTGAAGCCACATTAGCTGGGGGGGATCTGATCTGCTGGCACAGTGATGACACCACTAGACCACCAATGACTTCAGGCCATGCCATCCGAAGATATGGATGGTCAAAAATAAATTGGGGCCGTGCAAACGACCAGAATGCGACAAAAATGCAAAACGCTCGGAATGCTCGGGAGCAAGGAAGTTAACATTTCAGGTGTAGACCCTCTCAAATTGTTCAAAGAAGCAGTTTGTGTCATTAACAATAATTTGTCAGTGCACACAGGGAACAACTGGAGGCTTAATTAAGTTGTGAAAACTAGTTACTCCAACGATCCTAAACCCCAGAGGAACACAAGTGACAGGAACACAGGCAGCTAACCTCGCCGAGTCAATGAACTTGACTGTAACAACTATATTGTTGCAACTCAATTGGAGTGGATTGGTTAGCTCAGCTGGCTGGATGGCTGGTTTGCAATACAGAGCAATGCCAACAGCATGAGTTCAATTCCTGTACTGGCTTCTATTACCCAGGACAGTCACTTCACCCCTCACCTGAGGTGTGGTGACCCTCAGGTTAAACCTCCACCAGTCACCTCTCTCTCTCTCTCTCTAATGACACAGTGGGGCTATGGTGAATTTACTTTGTCAACCAACTGGTCCGTTTGACAGGATCCAGTTCAGTTCTAGAGACCTTCCACAACTGGAGTGTGGACAGCCGGCTATTCCACTACGGTGGTCATCACAACCAATGCAAGTCCTGCCCCTGGCACCAGCAGATGTCCCTTTTGTAGCAGGACATTTTATCCCACCGCCCACCCCAAAAGGCAATAAAAGCTGATGGTGGGGCCTAAGCCAGGAGACGCCCAGGCAAAGAGCAGAGCACTTTTATCTTCCCAGGTATCTCCCTTGGATCTGGAGGCTGCACATTTATCTGGTGAATCATTGGGAGAGTTAAATGGTGAATTTCTGGAGGCTTTTCAACTACAACAGAAACCCTCTCACCCTGGATCTGATGGTTTCCAAGGCTTCCACTGGCAAACTGGAGAAAGGAAGTTCCTGTTGCTATTATCTTTCCCATGAGATTGGGCTCCAGTGCTCAACAATTAAAACTAACTAATTCAGAACCACAGACTTTTTGTTCTCGCAACAACAGTTTAGTCAGGTGAAGAAAACCAGTCTGTTCACACCAAGACATCGAGACAAGATAACACTGTTAAAAAAAAGACATTGGGTGCTCTCTGAAGACTCAGAAACCCACCCATCACAGAAATAAATGCAGAGAACAAGTCACCAAATTACAAAATCATGAAGTGGGAAAACAGAATGTGCAAAACTACATAGATACGGGAGAGGGGTCAGCTCCCCCAATCTGGGTTAACAGAATCACAGCAACAAGGGGGAAATTCTGCTCCAATCTAGGATAGAATGGTGACCGAACTAAAGAATATGGGATAGGACGTGTCAGAGTGAAACCAGAGTTTGGGCCCAATCGGATAATGCCAAGTTTGGGTTTTCAAAGTCTGTGGATTATAGGAGAGAAGGAAGTCGGAAATGGTCACAGGTCTGAGTGAAGAAGGAATTTGTTCCAGTCCTCGGGAAATGGGCTTCATTAGCATGGCCCATGTTTATTGTCCAATTCCAGACGCGTGGTGATACATCACAGCCTGTTCAATGAACGGACACTCTCAGTGTAGAACGTTCTGGAATGGTGACCCCCAGTAAGTGTGAAGCGATGGCTGATACATTTCTGGGCTGCGATGGTTGGTGAGCTGGAGATGATGGTGTCTCCATGCACCCACTGCCCTGGTCCTCCTTGGTGGGGAAGGGGCATGGTATCAGAACCTGACATCACCAGCTTAAATGCGGTTCCTCAGCCGGTTACCATAGCGACAGTCTTTGCTGAACAGGCAAATATTGTGTCTTAAAAATGATAAACAAGACAAACATCAGACAGGCGTGAAGTCTAAGAGAGGTGAAGTCCAAAACCCTCGAGAGGTCTGTTTGTCATAAACAGCTGGAGCACCAAAATACACATGGTGTGGTCTGCTGAATTTTGACAATGGTGCTGACCTCAGGCACCGACAGTCAGCGAGAGGGTGCAGCTCAGTCCTCTTTGGCCCAATTCCTTCCAGTGTCAGGACAACATCGAGCGAACACGGCTGTGCCAGCTAACGTTCTTCAATGCTCTTTGCCTTTTAACAACGACAGATAATCCATCGAACCTAAGTCAAACAATAACGAGAAGTGGTCAAGTTCATTTTAACAGACAGGATTCTCAAGGTCATACAGCAACCCCCTTTCTATTTTTCACCCATTCCTGAGGAGCTCGGTTGTGACACAGATCTGTACAGGTTCAATTCCCACACTACTGGCTGAGGATACCATGAGAGAGGTAACTCTCCTTCTCAACCTCTCCCCTCGCCAGAGGCATGGTGGCCCTCAGGTTCAACCTCTGTCTAATGAGGGAGCAGTTGTATGGTCTGATATTGTTATGGTGAGTTTACAATCAAGCAAGCAATCAGGGTTTAACAACTCATCTCTGAAAGTGCAGCAAACCCTCACTGCTGTGGGGTTGGAGGGCAATGCACATTAAGCAACACAGCTAAATGGGAATAAATGTGAACATTCGATTAAAATGGCCGATTTGGGGAGAGAGAGAGAGAGCAGGAGAGGGCGAGAGAGAGAGAGACCGAGAGCGAGAAAGGGGATCAGATTCAGGGAGACCAATCACTTCCCAGAGGAGGATTGATGCAGAACTTGCACAGCTGCTTTGTGAAGAAGAAATTTATTGCAATGAGAGTCGATGACAAGTTCACCAATTTGTTGCCCATTCCAAGATCTCTAGAGGAGGCGATGGGCCACCCTGATGAACCTCTGCTGTCTCACAAATGATACAACTTCAAAAAGGGTTAGTTATGACATTAATCCCAGTGGGTTTCTGGGAACTCACTGCTGGTTACTATTAGCAGCCATTATCCTTGTAATCTGACACTGCTCGTGGTGATCCCTGACCCCTAACGATGTGAGAGCCTGGCTGGGTGGGGTGGGATAGTGGGTTTTATTCCCCCACCCTAGTTTAAAAGAAAAGTGGACACTAGTGAAGCAGCTGGTTAGTCACCGACACTCAGGAAACTCACAGTCCAGTTAGTTCTTTGCTTGCTTAAACTGAAACGATGGCCGGATTAAAACCAGCTTGTGGCCCAGACAGCGACAGAGGCATAGTGAGGGACCCATAGCTATGGGAATATATGCCTTGTTGGTTTGAGCTGCCACTGCTACAACAACAACAACTTGCATTACATAAGCATCCCCAAAACAGGGGTCAGCAGGCAATTCAACACTACACAAAACAACATAGTTTCTCTGTCAGACTTTAACTCCAAACTCAACAATTTCAGAACAGACTCTGTGTCCCCAGGCACACTCTGGTCATGATTCTGCTGCTACAAAAACAGAAATTGCTGGATAAACTCAGCAGGAGAGGAAGCAGGTTCTGAAGAAGTGTCACTGGACTCAAAATATTAACTCTGCTTTCTCGCTGTCCAGGCCTACTGAGTTTCCCCACCAAGTTCTGTTTTTGTTTCAGATCTCCAGAATCTGCATTTCTTTGTTTTAGTTTCAGGTTCTATTGCTGATGCCATTTACAATTCCTCCAGATCTGTTGTTTGCACCTTCACTTGTTTATTTGCAACCCACTTTTATCCCCTTGTACCATCATCATTTTTTGTCATTTAATCTCTCCTGTTTCCTATTCGATTATGGGCCCTCCCAATTTTGCTCTTCCCCCCAGTTCTGGCCTCTGTTTCTTCCTTAAAAACCTGTTAAGTCTCTCTAACTTTTCTCCCATTTCTGATGAAAGAATATCAAACTGCAGTAATTAACCTCGCTTTTCTCTCTGCACATGTTTGCCAAATATTTCCAGAATCTTCTGTTTTCTCTCCCTGTCCCACTCCCTTGTTGCAGGAGCTGGCTGCTGGTTCCTATTAACAGCTGGTTATGCTTGTAATCGGACACCAATCTTTCTGATCTTTGACCCCTAAGGATGTGCTGACAACAGGATTCTAGTGGCATTGACACACCAGATCTCCCAGAGTTCAGGTTTCAACGAGACTGGTCCCTGTCTAAATTGAGTAACTAGGCCACAGGCTTCCGGTTGCCACAGCAACACTCTGCATTGACCAAAATAATACTCATTTTTACATTCCATTGATACACAGAGCAGCTACTAAATGTTTTGACACTATGTGCAGCCTGCTCAAAATCAAGATTGGCGGAATCCAGCTCTAACTACTCACAACAAGTCTCACGGGCCTAGTCTCACTGAGAACCTCTATAAAGGGAGATGGGCACATGGCTGGGGGGGCTGGGGAGGTGGCATAGTGTTACTGCCACCAGGCCAATAATCCAGAGGCCCAGGCTAATGATGATAAGAGTTCAAATCCCACCACAGCAGCTGTTAGATTTTACAATCCAATTAATAAATCTGGAACTGAAAGCCATTCATTCGATGATCACTGACTGCCCTAAAGAAATCCCTTCTACCTGCTTCACCCGCATTCTTTAGGGAAGGAAATTTGCCAGCATGCGACCGCAGACCCACAACAATAAGGCTCACTTTCGAATGCTGTTGAAAGCCACTCAGTCCAAGGGCAATTAGGAATGGGCAACAAATCCTGCTCTTAATTACCATGGAAACAAGGAAAATTCCAACAGATTGTGAGGTAGAGTTTTCAGTGCCTTGCCATGAAAGAAAGTGGGAGTTTCAATCATGACCCCATGTGTTTCCTCTTTTTGCCCCACTTGGACACCTGCTGCGTAGGGTCACGTGAAAACACTCATCGGATTCCGCAAATTAAGGGCCCAATTCAGACCCCACTCCAGCCATGAATCATTCAGCAGCCTATAAGCTGAGAACTGTTTATGCTGGATGGGGAATAGGGAGGAGAATTCCTCCTGACTTTGCAAAACCAGCTCAGGTTGCTACAGACAACAGGGTGGGGAATGTTCGCCACATGTGAACTGGCTTCAGACTGAGCCAGTCTGGAATCAGAGACATTGCAGCATGGAAGGATGCCATTTGGCCCATCGGATTCCCCAGGAGTGTTCCATCGATGGCTCAGCCAAAGTTAATGAGGCCTCCCACTTTGCCCATTCCAAGGGACAGAATTTATCCCTAGTTTATAACCTCATCGACTGCTCACTTCATACTCTGCAGTTTCTGTGACCCTTAAAGGAAAGTTACTTTTAAAACTTGGATCAACATTAAAATGATTATCTTCCACTTTCAGAACAGTTCATGCACAGAAAGTTTGCTCGAGTGAATGAGATCCCTCTGTTGGCCTGGTTAGATATGGACAATGTGAGACAGGAACAAGGAATATTACATCAGTCCCAGTTCACTGGAAATTTCAGAAATCAGCCTTCACCTCTTGATCTCCCCCACCAGACAATGGCTTTACACTTTAGATCTGTCCCTCCCAACATTTACTGTATAGACAGAGACCGAGGGCAAGCGATGGAGAGAGTCTTTGTTTTAGAAATGATACACGTTGGAAGAAGTTGCTGCTGGATATGAATGCGTTGTAAATATGGAAATATGTACAGTTGGTAAAAGAGTAAACAACTGGACAATCTGTTTAACAGACTTCAAGCATTAACTTCTGTCTGGCTGTTCAGCTTTAAGACACAGTGACATTTTGAAATCCCAGTGTCTGTGTGGTACTTTTTTAACCAGCTCCTTTTAGAGCCGTGACCCTCCCATTTCTCTTGGCCCGGGAGGAGATAAAAGTAAGATTCAGAGATAGTCATATCGCAGGTCAATAACCTCTCATTTAACCAAGATTCTCAGGGACCACCCATAGCCAAAACATAACGAGTAATTCAAGACAGTCCACAAAATATCTCCTCATTGTCTAAGAGTGAGTGTTTGATGATCTCCAGATCAAATCACCACACAACCCCATATTTAGAGAGAGTCATCTCTTTGGAGTGTAACCCTCTGTGACAAGGCTGACCCGGGAGTGCTCAATGGCCAATCGATTGGATTACTGGGGCAACAGCACAGAGATCACAGGTTCAAGCTTCATGGTAACTGCTGAATAATGACTGTGAAAGCTGTTTGATTGTTGCTTAAAAAGATACAATGGATTCATTCATTGTTTCCGGGAAGGGGAAATCATCGTCGCCTTCAGCCTGGGTCTACTGGTTACTCTGAAATTTAATCTCAAAGGCAACAAAAAGGCAACCTGCAAACAAATGATAAATATTGTCCAAGTACCAAAAACAGACCTTGTTAAAAACAAGACATAAAGACCCACTGCCTTGAGTGCAAAAATATCAGCTTCCCTTCCTTCTGTGTGAATGAGAGAAATTAAACCATAAGCACATGGAATCACTGCTTTTAAGAAATGATCCAGTGACTCCTGCCCAAAACAAAAAGCTAATGAGCTCAAGATTGACCTGATCAGACCGATTCCTGCGGTGACAGCACTGACATACAAAGACAGACTGGATCAGTTAGAACATCGAACAGTACACAGCACAGGAACAGGCCCTTCAGCCCACCATGTCTGCACCGACCATTCTAATCTAATTCCATCTACCTGAACAAGGTCAATATCCCTCTATTCCCTCACTGTTCATTTATCTGTCTAAATGTCTCTTAAACATAGCTGTCATATCTGCACCTACCACCTCCCCTGGTTAGGACTATATCCACTGGAAGTTCAGAAAAACGAGGTGGGGGAGATCTCGTAGAAACCTATAAAATTCTAACAGGACTAGATAAGGTAAACACAGGATGTTCCTGATGACCAGGGAGTCCAGAACCAGGGGTTACAGTCTAAGGATACACGTTAGGTCATATAGGATTGAGCTAAGGAGAAATGACTTCACCCAGAGAGTATGGAATTCTCTGTCAGAGAAAGCAGTTGAGGCTAAAACATTGAATGTTTTCAAGTAGGAGCTAGATATAATTCTTAGGACAAAAGTGATCAAAAGATACAAGGCAGAAAGTGGGAACTGAGGGGACTGAGTTAGATGATCAGTCATGATCATATTGAGTTGCAGAGCAGGCTCAAAGGGCCAAATAGCCTACCCCTGAACCTCAGCTGTGAAGGTCTCTCTTTATTCGCTGTTCCTACCCACTGTTTTTAAAAAGGGAGTTCCTGGGCACGGTTAGTGTATGTGACACCGGCAGCATCTTTCGGTGTGCAGGGGGGCAGGTATGAAATTCCATCTCAAATTTAGACCAAGCGACGTCCTTCTGTCCAACTGAGGTTGTCCATCAGGATGGAGCCATATCAAAATCAGCTACTGCATCATTTAACCAGCCCACACATATGGTTGGAGGTCGGGGCTGGGGAGGTGGAAGAGAAACTGGATTTTGAAAGAAGACAGAATTCGCTTCTGAAAGGAAGGGGAAGCTGAGAAACCTCGCCTCCATTACTTCAACATGACACATACGGAAGGAAGAAACCAAAAGAAGTGCGGGCGCTGGAAATCCGAAACAAAAACCAGGGATTGCTGGAGAAACCCAGCAGGTCTGGAGAGAGAATCACGTTCCGAGTCCAGTAACTTTCGGTCCGAACAATTCTCATTGGTTCTGCTTTCTCTCCTCAGATGCTGCCAGACCTGCTGAGTTTCTCCTGCAATTTCTGTTTCTGTCGCGGGTGGGGAAGAAGCTTACCTCAGGCTCGAAGCTATGGTTGAGCTAGACAGAGAGATATTTCCACGTACTAACGAAGGCAGTTGGAATGAGCGAGTAGGGCACGGTGGTGATGTTACTCCACGTGCCTGTTGACGAATCGTAACAGTCTAGGGTCTTGCACATTTGCGCACCAAAGTACCCTCCAACCACGTACAGGCGGTTACCGGATGCCACCGAATGGCAGCTGACCCTCCGCGCAGTCATGTCACCGAACTTTGACCATTGGTAAGTCTCACTGTTGAAGCGGTACGCAGAGCTGGCAGAGAATTCCGTGTCGCCGCCGATGACGATAATGTGGTCGCCCACCACAGATGCTGAGGTGTAGCGCCAGGGCTGTGGGCAGTGAGCAGGCACAGTCCAGCGGTTCTCCCCGGGGTGGAAGCACTGCACCTTGGGCAGCTTCTCACGGTTGACGCTGGTGCCGCCGAAGACGAAGAGCTTCAGCCTGGAGCCCACAACCGCGGCGTTGCTGACCCCCTCGCGGAGGGGGGCGACCAGGGTCCACTTGTTGGCCTGGGGGTCGTAGTGCTCGACCTGTTTGAGGGAGACGGAGGGCGAGGCCGGGAAGGAGACGCTGACGGCTGTGTGCCCGCCGATGGCGTACAGGCACTGGTCCAGCTCTGCCGAGCCGTGCCCATAACGTGCCAGGAGCATGGGGGCAGCTTTGGTCCACTCGTCGTGGAGGGTGTCATACACCCAGACATCTTTGGAGACCCCGTTTTCGGAGCCCCTGCCGCCAGTCACGTACACTTTACAGCCGATGGCACAGGCACTGCACTCCTTGCGGGGGCTGGGAATGTTGGTCTTGGGGATCACGGTCTTGGCCTTCTGGTCGATGGCGTACACCTTGTCGCACACAAAGGTCTGGCCGCCCAGCAGCAGCACATCGTGGTTGACCTTGCGAGGCCTGGCACACAGGAGGGTGACCACGCCGTCGTTCTGCAGGATCCGCATCTTGCAGCAGATGGCTTCCTCAACCACCCCCTTGCCAGTCTGGTGGCTGGCCACCAGCTCCTCCCCTAGCACGCTCTGGTACAGGTAAGACTCCGGGAGCAAGGCCAAGCGCACGCAGCGCAGGAGTTCCGGCAGGTCGTCCCTCCGCCTCCTCAAGTCATGCTTCACCCAGCCCATCACCGCCTCGTAGACCAGGCTCTCGTCCTCCACCTCCAGCTCCTCGCTCAGGATCAGCTCAACCAGCTTGTCCTTGGGCAGGTTCAGGAAGTCTTCCGTCCTGTACAGCACTGCAAAGTAGGCCAGGCAGGCCTGCCAGGAGAGCTCGTAGAGCTGTTCGCACTGGTGGGCATCAGAGAGCAGCATCATGCCCAGGCAGTTCATGGGGTGCAGATTCTTCTCCAGAAACTCCGCTGAGGCGTCCCGGATATCATGGAACTGCAGCATGTCGCTGGCCTCCAGCAGGGACTCGGCGTTCTCCTCGTTGATCAGCACACGGGACGAGTAGGCGTAGTCGAGGAGCAACTCCAGCACCTCGGGGTGCAGGGAGTCGTGGAAGTTGACCTCGCTGTCGTGGCTCTCCTTCAGGCCGCCAGCGAACATGGCCTCGAAGTAGCGGCTGCAGGAGGCCAGCACCACACGGTGGCAGGGGAAGGAGCGGTTCCCCGCGCGGAGGGTCACGTCGGTGAAGAGGTGACGCCTCCTCAGGAGGTTGAGGTGGGTCAGCAGGCTGTCTGCGTGCGATGGCTTGTGGAACAGCTGGATGTTCATGGAGCCAGAGCTGGAACGTGATTTCCGGTTCTCGTGAACGGTGACGGACATCGTGTGGGAAGGTTCTGTTGAGACACAAAAACATGGACATGCAAATCAGACAGGGGGGAGAAAAAAAAAAAATCTCACTTTCCAGTCAGAGGTAGTAGGAGCTGCTGATGCTAGAGAATCTGAGATAACAAGGTGTGGAGCTGGATGAACACAGCAGGCCAAGCAGCATCAGAGGAGCACGAAAGCTGACGTTTCAGGTCTGGACCCTTCTTCAGACCCTTTCTGAAGAAAGGTCCAGACCCAAAATGTCAGCTTTCCTGCACCTCTGATGCTGCTTCACCTGCTGTGTTCATCCAGCTCTACACCTTGTTATCTCACTTTCCAGTCTCTGTTCAGAAAAGAAATATGATCAATCATTGCCACTAGAAACAGTATCTCCTTCACTGAATACCCCCTACTATCTACACCCTATTGACCAGAAACTGAACTGGTTCCAGCCATACAATTACTGTGGCTACAGGAGCAGGTCAGAGACTGGGAAAACTGCAGCATGTAATTCACTTCCTGACTCCGCAAAACCTGTCCATCATGTACCAGGTGCAAGTCAGGTGTGTGATGGAATACTCCCCACTTGCCTGGATGGGTGCAGCCCCAACAACACTCAAGAGGCTTGACACCATCCAGGACAAAGCAGCCGCTTGATTGGCACCACATCCACAAGCATTCACTCCCTCCACCACTGACACTCAGTAGCAGCAGTGTGTACCATCTACAAGATGCACTGCAGAAATTCACCAGAAGGTTCTTAGACAGCATCTTCCAAATCCATGAACACTTCCACTTGGAAGGGCAAGGACAGCAGATACATGGGAACACTCCCCTCCAAGTCACACACCATCCTGACTTGGAAATATATCAGTGTTCCTTCAAATTCATGGGGCCAAATCCTGGAACTCCTTCTCAAGCAGCACTGGGTTTACCTAGACCACCAGGACCCTAGGTCATCGGCAACTTCAAGGGCAGTTACTGATGGGAAAAAAATGTTGGTCTAACTAGAGACACCTGCATGCCATAAACAAATTACAAATTATCAAATGAGTGTCCCATTTCAACATCAGTGAGGAAGTCAATTGTCTTCAAGGCTTTCTTGCTCGGAAATAAGAAGTTTCAGAATACTTTCTTATAGGAAAGGATATTATTCAGCTGGAGGGGATTCAGAACAGATTTACCAGGATGTTGCCGGGAATGGAGGGTTTCAGTTATAAGGAGAGGCTGGATAAGCTGGGACTTTTCTCACTGGAGCTTGAGAGGTTGAGGGGTGACCTCAAAGGTTTATAAAATCATGAGGGATACAGATAAGGTGAATGGCAGGTGTGTTTTCCCTAGGGTGGGGGTTTCAAGAATAACGGGTATATTTTTAAGGTGAGAGGAAAAAGATTTTAAGAACACACGAGGGATGATTTTCTTTTTAACAGAGAGTGGTTTGTGTGTGGAATGAACTTCCAGAGCAAGTGGTGGATGCGGATATAGTTACAGAGTTTAAAGACATTTAGATAAGTACATGAATAAGAAATGTTTGGAGGGATATGGGCCAAATGCAGGCAGGTGGGACTGGTTTAGTTTGGGATTATGGTCGGCATGGACTGGTTGGACCGAAGGGTCTGTTTCTGTGATGTATGACTCTGTGACAATTTTCAGTGAATGAGCTTTCTGCTGTAAAGTCTTGCTTAACACGAGCACACAAACTCTGTAGAAGAGTTGGCAGACCAGATTCATGAGCTTGTTATTCGTGAAAATCTTCTGATATTAGATCCTCTCAAAAAAAAGCCTCAAGCATAAATAATTAATTGAAGCTGGCGATAGGGTTGTACAGAGCAGTTTGTCAATCATTTATGTGGTCCAACGATAGGGGTCAGATTTAAATAGTTCCTTTCCCCCTTTTATGGGATGTGGGCATCACTGGCAAGGCCAGCATTTGTTGCCATCCCTAATTACCCTTGATCTGAGTGATTTGTTAAGCAATTTCAGAGGGCAGCTATCTGTCAACCCCATTGCTTTGGGACTGGAATCACATAGTGGTCAGACCAGGTAAGGGTGGCAGATTTCCTTCCCTGTTTCTATTTAAATCATCATCCAATGTGCAAAGGTACGGGGAAAAAGGTGGGACAATGGCATAGTCATAAATGCTTAGAGAACAGGTGGAGATGCGATGGGTTGAATGACCTCCTTATGGGCCATAACAATTCTGCAGCTTAGTACCCTCAAAATAAAGTGGCTTTAAAGAATCGTGGCAAGATGCTACAGAGGACAACAAATCATCAACACATCCAGTGAGGTGAAGAATCGGGGTTTGGACAGCAGAGAGGATCGCTGTGTCAATAAGTGAGGAAATGTAGAGGGCAGAATTAGAGAGTGGAATTCTTGTTGGACATTACTGAACCAGGGAGGGGCAAGAATTTGATTACTGAACCAGTGAAGTTGAGACAAAGTCTAACCACAGTGATGTGAAGATGACAGGAAGGTCCTGGCTGCTGGATGATGACCATTTGAGGAACAGGAGAATGGTAGCCTCAAGATACACTCACTACGTAGCCACCAGAACTGGCTGATTAAAGGCTACATTGCTGATTGTGCAGTTATGTTCCACAAAACTGTGCATTTAACATTCCAGGGATGTGCGCTGTGGGGCTGAACACTGTTATGAGGCAGACAGTACTTATTTCAGAGCCCTGTAATCACACCTCACTGCCAGTTGTCAACATGGAGAACACATGCCCACATTCCAACTCCAAGAGAAAAAAATAGATTTTCCTCTTTAAAATCATCGAGACCAGAGCTTATTCCAACCAAGCAGCAGTTGGCCATGATAAACCACGTCCAGACAAACTGGGCTCAACACCTTGTCCTCTGTTCCACCCCCAGACGTAGGAAGCAAGTGCTCAATAAGTCCAGTGGCTGATCTCTGTTTTCGATCGTAGATGTAGGGTGGGGCATGCCCGTTTCACGGCACATTGTCTGTCCCACAGGGAAACTCCGTTCGATCAGATCTCATCCAACATCTGCACCCCCAACAGGAGTTCACTCTCCAAAGTGGAATTGTGACCCATTCCTACACCTCAGTCCTCTGGGATCATTCACTGTGTTAACCTGTGATACAAAATCAAATTCAAGTTTCCACTATTTGAAGAAGGCAGAAGAGTACTTCCTGGGACACAGTAAACGTTCCCTGAAAGGGCACCGCCCACGTCAGCCGGCCATTAATATGGGATCTTGCTGTGCCGATTTCTTTTCCATTGCTCACGGTCCTACCAAACATGAACCGTTGAACGGAGTCTAGCACCCAGACGGGAAAAGAGAAAATGTTCCCTTTGCCGTGGGCACCGTGAGGTTGGCAAATATGCCAGGGAATTTGTGCACAGCAAGATCCCATATTGATGGCCGGCCGATGTGTTTTGAGGCAGTGCTCTAGGAGGGAATGTTGGCCGTGTCCTGGGAAGAACCCCCTCTGCACCTCTTCAAACAACTAAAACTTGTGTTGATATAAAAATAAAGGTAAAACCGCCACAGTCCCACTTTCTCAAAGAGAGATAACTGCTGGTAGTTTAACCTGAGGGTCACCACACCTCAGGCATGAGGTAAGATTGAGGGTGAGTCCTTCATGATAACCTCAGCTGGTGCAGGAACTGAACCCACTTTGTCAGCATCACCCAGCAACACAAACCAGCCATCCAGCCAACTGAGCTAACCCACCCAGTGCATTGGTATTGTGCCTTTAGAACAGCAAAACATCTCATGGGACTGGGGCAACAGAAATTATATTCCTTCTCCAGGTTATACAGTACAAATGGGTTCAGTGGGACACAGAGACACTCACTCTCTTGGGTCACAGTGTAAAATAAAACAGGACTTACATGGGCTGGTCGGACCATACTGTTTCAGAGCCTCAGTTTAACATCACTTTCAAATCAAAGCATCTTATGTAGTTCACATTTCTCTAACCTCCTTCAACCCTACAGCCTTGTCCAATTCTCCACACTCCTCCAATTTTAGCCTTGGGTGGTGCCATGGGGCAATGGGTTGCTGAACCAGAAGCTCTGGTTTCAAATCACCTTGGGCACACAGTATGTGTCCAGGAGATGGTCCCCAGAAATTGACCATCAACAAGCGTTTCCAATACTCCAACAGCAGGAGCACTTCCTGCTCAGGCTGAACCTTTCGGTAGCTCTGGGACAAGACACCACCCCAATATTTTAAATTTAAAAATAAACTGACTCTGTCATTGAGTTCTTGCTGCAGGACATACAAGCAAGCGTTCTGCCTTGCTTCAAGGACCAGTCAGGCAGACAAGGCCCTGCTTCATGTGCACCTTCAACCTTCAACAAAAATCGTTCTACCTTTGGTGGCCACGCCTTCCTGGGATCTCCTTTCGAAACATCTCCACTAGAACACGCTTTAAAGCCTGCCTTCGTAGAATCCCTACAGTGTGGAAGATGGCCATTTGGCCCATCGAGTCCACACTGACCCTCCAAAGAGAAGTCCATCCAGACCCACCGTCCCACCCAATAACCTTGCATTTCCCATGTCTAATCCACCCTAACCTGCACATCCCTGGACGCTATGAGCAATTTAGCATGGCCAATCCACCCTAAACTGCTCACGTTTGGACTGTGGGAGGAAACCAGAACAAACCCACGCAGACATGGGGAGAATGTGCAAACTCCGCATAGACAGTTGTCCGAATGTGGAATTGAACCCAGAATCCTTGGTGATGTGACTAGCAGAGCCACCATGCCACCTCCAACCAAGCTTTTGGTCACCTTTCCCAACTTCTCCATCTGTGGCCCAGTGTCAGTGCTGCTGGATACAATATCACAAGGTTTTTCCCAGGAGTGCTCCTAATCTAAAGACAACACAGGGGAGGTGATGGTCTCGTGGTATTATCACTGGACTGTTAACCCAGAGACCCAGTTAATATTCTGGTGACCCAGGTTTCAATTCTGCTGCGATAGATGTGGAAATTGAATTTAATAAAAAAAAATCTGGCATTAAGAGTGGAACGATGAACCATGAATCC